AGGCCGATGAATTGGCCCGAGAAGGCGCATCTACGCCACTGGTTGGTCCGGAACCCTTCTTTGGAATCGCAAATACGATAAAAAGGGTAGCCATACACAAATGGGTGCAACAGAAGTCTCTTGAGTGGTGGAACAACTCACCAGGACAGAGGCAGGCCTAACAGTTCATCAAAGAACATTCGGCTAAATTTACAGCAGACTTACTTTCGCACAGACGCAGGACTGTCAGAATGATAGTGGGTCTGCTCACTGGGCACTGTAGACTCAATAGACACTTGAGTCTCATAGGCCTGACAGAAGAGGACACCTGTCGTTTCTGTCTGGAAGAAGAGGAAACCGCTCTACACGTTCTGTGCCATTGCGAAGGTCTCGCACGAATGCGGTTTCTAGAACTCGGAGAGGAAAAACCGGAAGCACCAGGTTACATGAAAAGGCCAATATCAAGGCTGTTGAGCCTCATTAAGAGGACCAAACTAGATGAAGTGCTTTAAAATAAGGGGGGAACGCAATAGATCTGCAAAGGTCGCAGTGTATCAGGCTCTATTGGCCGCCCCATTTTCTACATTCTACATTCATGTCTGAGAGAATAACATGTAACTACATTTCTGTGATAGACCCGTAGACACTATGGACAATCTTGTTTGTACATTGTTGCTGAAAAAAAGTTGATTTTTTAGATGGTCTATGGACCATCTAAATACATCTAAATACACTCTGGACCAAAATTAACCGGCTACCTTAAAAATGGATAATTTTTGATTTCTTTTGATCTAAACCTGTTGTCCGATTTAAGTGATTTTTTTAATATGTTATAGCCTTAATCTTTGACAATATCTTTATAATATTGTTGCTAAATAATATTATTGCTAATATAATATTGTTGCTAAAGAGATAAATTTTCATTGTATACCGGGTGTACGAATCAAACTGTGTTTTTTCTTAAAGTTTGCACCACCCTGTGGAATATTCTAGTATTTGTAGAATACTGAAATTAGATCGTGACTATAGCGTCATGCTTTCTCAACATTTTGTTTTTTGATTGATTCGCTTATGTTGGATAATAAAAAAAGTTAGGTGCTTTAACAACTAGACATGTTTTTTATCAATTTTTATCTCCGCGGGACAGAAAAAATATTTTTTTTTGAAAAAAAAAGCCATTTGTTACAGTAAAAATCGAATGAATAAAATCTTCGAAGAAAATTCAAATTAACAATATTTTGGAAATCAAAGTCTAGTTCAAAAAAAATTTGGGTATCAATAATGGGTGTTGCCGCCTCTAGCCCTTAGGACTTCTTGGAGCCGGTTTTGCAATCAATTCAATCCTGGATATCAGATTGGGGGATATTGTGCCACTCCTCTACCGCAGCTGTCTTCAGCTCTTCAAAGGATGCAGGGGCTGGTACTCTTGCTCTTACCCGTCTTTTAAGGTTGTTCCAGATATGCTCAATCGACAATGATACAGTTTCGAATTATGAAGGAAACAACTCAATTATAGATGAAAAGAAACTTGTCCACATATTATTCAGAAATTAGTAAAACAATTAGTCCACTGATATTTTGTCAACAATGATTTTACAGTAAAATTTTCTGCATTGGAAACTAAATACAGTGATACCCCGAACTTACGCGATAGGTGAGACTCGAGCGATAATCGCGTAATGTATGTATATTAGTATAGTTTAAACAGGATCCTATTGTGTTATCCCGTGGGAACTTTGTTGCTAAAATGTAAAACCCATTTTTTTTGGTTTTTAATATCTTTGTAAGGCAAAATCACTTGGTCGTCCAAAAATCGTAGTGGGAGGGGGGTGGTGGGGAGCCTTACAAAAAAAAATGCAATTATTTTTTTTCATCGTTTTTCGGATGTACAATATCCGAACATTTATTCGTCAAATTTGCATACCCATCTGGACATTAGAAATATTTTTATTTTATTCATAAAAATACGTCAAACCATTGTTGTATACGGAGCGCCTTTATACAAAATCACTTGTTCTGAAAACCCATATTTTTAAAATCTTTTACCTCGCTCTACCTCGAAAAATATTGGGTTTTGCAAAAAATTACTTTCATCTCTGCGTTCAGCACTGTCCGTCGTGACATGCCGTTCTATTTATTTAATTCTTTCTTAAACTAATTATCCAATCGAACTTCTAAAATAACCAACGTAATCTCTGATTTTTGGTATATAATGTTCATAGAAAGTAATTTTTTGCTAAACCCAATTATTTTCGAGGTAGAGCGAGGTAAAGGATTTTAAAAATATGGGTTTTCAGAACAAGTGATTTTGTATGAAGGCGCTCCGTATACAACAATGGTTTGACGTATTTTTATAAATAAAATAAAAATATTTCTAATGTCCAGATCAACATGAAAATTTGAGGAATGAATTTTCGGTTATCGTAGATCCGAAAAATGACGAAAAAAAAATTTGCACTTTTTTTGTAAGGCTCCCCACCACTCCCCTCCCGCTACGATTTTTGGACGACCAAGTGATTTTGCATTAGAAAGATATTAGAAACGAAAAAAAAATAGGTTTTACATTTTAGCAACAAAGTGCCCGCCAAAATATATTCTAGAAGCCTTTTGCCAGTCTATTTACTCTACTATATAAATTATTTTAATTGGGACCGGAAGATAAGAAAAAATAGCAATTTAAAATTTTTTTTTATTAAAATCTTAAGATATACAAATATAAAATTGGAGTTTAATTTATTTTTGATGTAGAAGGCTTTATAAAATCTAACAAAGTAGTTTAACGACTCAATTTTTTTTCTCGCTCCTGCAAAATTTCTTCATAGCTGGCTAATCATTTGTTATCCCTTGTTTGGTATAAGAAATGCGCTCTTCGTTGTGGTCTATATTTTCTAAAATTTTTAATCCCTTTTCAATTAAACTAAGGCATTGAGTCAAGTTTCCAATCGTCATTTGATCCTCAGATTGAACTGGATCCAAACACTCAGGCTCTTCAATGTCTTGTTCTTCCTCGTGCATTTCTATGAGGTCATCTATTGTCAGCTCCTAATTGTGGGAATTCAACAGTGCTTCAACGTCATCACTATCAACTTCTAAATTTATTTGCTGGGCGATATCAACAACTTCTTTAATAACATTACTAACTTCATCATGCTCTGGCATCAATTTCATTTCAGTGTCAGTGATGAAAAAAAAAATTACACAGTTTTTTCCAGGCGCCATTTAACGTTTTTTGTGAAACTTCATTTCAAGATTGTCTAATAATTGACACTGCATCTAACACGTTGAATTGTTTCCAAAATCTTTAACAGAGAGCTTGTCATTTTTTCTTATAACTTCATGGAGAGGTTTAAATGATCGTCTGGTGTAATGAGCTTGAATGTTTTAATGACTCCCTGATCCATCGGCTGAAGTAAACTGGTTGTATTAGGTGGCAAAAATTCAACTTTCACACGTAGGTCAAAACTAGTTAAACCTGGAGTGTTGTCGATAATTAGCATCACTTGTAATAGAATCTGTTTCGATTGACAATAACATTCGACTTCAGGTATGAAATGATGACCAAACCAATCCTCAAAAAGGGAAGCTGTCACCCAACCTTTTCGATTAAATGTCCAAATTACAGGCAAGCCAGATTTAGATTTAGATTTTCTGAGCGATAAACTAAGAGGGGTTTTAATTTTCAATTACCAGCTGCATTTGACCCCACCATCACTGTCAATCTATCTTTGGCAGCCTTAAAACCTGGAAAGGTTTTCTCTTCACGTGCGATGAAAGTTCTCTTAGGCATCTTCTTCCAAAACAGGCCAGTCTCATATACATTGAATATGGTTTGTTTGGTTTAGCCACATTAATCTATTATGGCTTTTAATTTCTGTGTATAACAAGGCGTAGCCTCTTTATGCTCTTTCAACTCTTCAGTAGATATTGTAACATTTTTTTTATAATTAAAATAGTAAACAAATTTTAATCCCTTTACATCCGTTGCTGATACGCCCATGGCCGTATCCGCAAATAGATATGCGGGTGGGCTCTCCCATTAGTATTAACTGTTAATATCTTTCCTTCGATTTGGTCTCAGAACCTAAATATTGTTCCTTATCTCTTTTCATTTCTAAGGTTTCTTAATTGTCCCCTTGAACCCAAAAAAGTTAAGTGGCGCCCTTTTTCTATCTTGTTTATTTCAGTATCTTTTCTAATATATCTTATCCTGTTCTATCTTTACTTATTTCGTCCGTTGGACCCATTCCCGGTTCCAAAAGCTTGTTTCGAACCCATGGCTCTCCACCAACCATCTGGCTGTCATCCGCAGTGTCTCCATTGGTGACCTTTCTAGCACCAAAAAAGGTTTCCGAGGTTACAATAAAATAAAAATCCCGCTATAAAAGTAACAAACACCCACTCCATAGACAAAACTGTAGATAAAAAATACCTAATACAAAATAAATGTGCTGATTTCGTACGAAAAGCCAAAACATGTACTTTGGATGAGCAATAATGTGTGCGGTAATTCTATCTAATCGATAATCGAACGATTATGTGGCACTTAGATGATTCTGGATTTAATCGGGGTAGCGTAAGTCGAGGTATTACTCTATATATTTAATACAGTAAAATTAATATACAAAATATAATTAAGTTAATTAATAAAAGTTATTTGATCACTAAGTGACCAAACAAAGAAATCGCCCTTATGACAAAAAGCAACTAATAAAACATTGTTTTCTAGGCTTACAGACTACCAGTCTGGAATTTTATCTTCCTGCTGTTACAACATAATGTCTGCTGCAGTTACAGATGAAACACCAGGATGAAATACTTCAAGACCAGTCTGTAAACCAAAAAAGCAATCTAGAAACATATTTTCTGTTATGGAAATCTACAGGTACAGTTAAATAAATCTCATTGGACTAAAAAATTATGAATTCTCGCTCAATTTGGTAATACTTTGTTTAATATTAAATTTAAAATAAAAAAATTATATATATAAAATGGGGGACCTCCCATCCATACCCATACCCCACCTGTGTCCGATCTTTTCTCGATGTTTCAGCAGAGCTTTCTCTGCTACTTCTCGGTTAACAAACTGAACATACGCATCCCCAGAACTTCGCCCCGAGTAGTCAGTGAGAAGGGTTATTCCGTTGGGTACAATCTCCAACCCTACCCAAAAACAACCCAAATCTGTTAACACCCTTTTACGCCAAACGGTTTATCAACTTCAACGAAAATTATTCAATTTTTATTATACAAGTCATTACTGAGCACAAAAAGCAATTTCAGACCTTATCGTTTTGCTTATGGGATCCAACTTATGGTCAAATTTAACTGAAAAGCTATAGCAGGATAAGATGGTCAAAAGTGACCCCGCACCGATCAGCACTGCGACTTGTGATTTTAATAAAGCATATAAAAACATGACTTCATACAAATGTTTAGCTTCCCAGAGGCCACAGAACCTGTTAAATCTAAAAAGAAGCTTTTTTCAACTTTTTTTCTGTACGCAATATTGCCTTAAAAAATCTGAAAAAATTCATGAAGATGTTTTTTTCTTTTAAATACCAAATAGCCCGATTTTTTTCAAATTTTTATATTGAAAATTGAGTCTATGAAAAATCATTGAAATTTTCAATGATTTCTTAGGTTATGTTAATAATTTTTCACTAACTTTTATATAGTAATTTTTTATGTATTTTTTTTAGTTCTTTTGAATGGCAGAATTTTCAATTTCTGAGCGGAAAGAATCGAAAAAATCAAAAAAAAAACGTTTTATTACTCATTTATTTGCACATAACCTAAAAACTTAGTTGATAATTCCACATTTTTTTCTTCCACATTATAAAATCCTATTGTAAAAATCCACATTTAACTCTTTCATAAAGATAAAATTCGAAAATACCATATTTTTTATCATTTTCGCATTTATTTTACCTTACCACAAAATCAAATAGATATATGCTTTTCCATCCACTTTCTTCTTTCAATTTTGTTATACCACTTGTCTTTTTTTTTATTACATAGTCAAAACTTGAAAAAGCTGTTTCTAAGCATTATTTCTATTTTTGACTACTTAATTGCATAAACTGATATATCTCTAGGATCACCTCGATAATAATATAAGAATATTATTATTATTTTTTAAATATTTTTTTAACATTGTAAAAATTGTTTTATGAATTCATTTGGATATAAACGAGGACATATATAAAATATTTGGTTACAAAAATATTTATTCTTATGAAATTGTTATAAAATAGGTTATTTAAATTAACAGTTTAAACATTCAATTACATTTTAGTCCTCATCATTATTCTCATCTATGACTAATTCAACATCAGATGTCAAAATTTCTGATAGAATTTTTGCTGGTCCTATGATTCTCGATATATATTTTGAATTACTGAGATAATATGACTGCGGCTTTATGAGAACACGAACCCACAGTGCGTAACCCATTTGCACAGTCACATGCGTGGCGCAAAATACCACCATATCCAATTGAATCAGGTTTATACTCGATGTAGCATTTATAGGTCTTACTGCTTATACGCCTGAATCTTATAAGTGCTTTAATAATATTTAGTTTCATCCTACTATACTTCAAATTGATGTTATTACTATCATCCAAACATAAAATCAACTCAGCCAAATAGCAAATCGCTTGACCTAACTGATAGGTCCCGAAAAAAATTTTGAGGTCCCTTTCAGCCATCTCTGGAAAATTAATGATTTCTTGCGATGTCAGCTTGGTCGTTGTAGTAGGACGTCTTGATTTTCCATAAGATGGTCAAATAATTTTCCAGAGATGGCTGAAAGAGACCTCAAAATTTTTTTCGGGACCTATCAGTTAGGTCAAGCATTTGCTATTTGGCTGAGTTGATTTTACGTTTGGATGATAGTAATAACATAAATTTGAAGTATAGTAGGATGAAACTAAATATTATTAAAGCACTTATAAGATTCAGGCGTATAAGTAGTAAGACCTATAAATGCTACATCGAGTATAAACCTGATTCAATTGGATATGGTGGTATTTTGCGCCACGCATGTGACTGTGCAAATGGGTTACGCACTGTGGGTTCGTGTTCTCATATAGCGGCAGTCATATTATCTCAGTAATTCAAGATATATATCGAGATCAGCATGGGATCAGCAAAAATTCTATCAGAAATTTTTACATCTGATGTTGAATCAGTCATAGATGAGAATAGTGATGAGGACTAAAATGTAATTGAATGTTTAAACTGTTAATTTAAATAACCTATTTTATAACAATTTCATAATAAATATTTTTTCCGCAAATCGCCAGGAAATTTTGACATTCCTGTCAAAATTTCTTGAAGAAAAAGTCAGGACTTCCTTACTGTAAGGAAATGATATTTCCGTACAGTTGTTAGTGTTCTACATAAATGATAGAAAACACATTGCTTATAAGGAATTAATTTATATTTTGAAAACATCAAGTCATTGCTGAATACATTTTTAAGATCAATTTGTTATATTTACAGTAATTTGACAGTGAGTACAATTATTGAACATTGGAGGAACACTCTTAGAACTATGAGAAACATTTTGGACAACATGCATGTGACTGTGCAAATGGGTTACGCACTGTGGGTTCGTGTTCTCATATAGCGGCAGTCATATTATCTCAGTAATTCAAGATATATATCGAGATCAGCATGGGATCAGCAAAAATTCTATCAGAAATTTTTACATCTGATGTTGAATCAGTCATAGATGAGAATAGTGATGAGGACTAAAATGTAATTGAATGTTTAAACTGTTAATTTAAATAACCTATTTTATAACAATTTCATAATAAATATTTTTTCCGCAAATCGCCAGGAAATTTTGACATTCCTGTCAAAATTTCTTGAAGAAAAAGTCAGGAATTCCTTACTGTAAGGAAATGATATTTCCGTACAGTTGTTAGTGTTCTACATAAATGATAGAAAACACATTGCTTATAAGGAATTAATTTATATTTTGAAAACATCAAGTCATTGCTGAATACATTTTTAAGATCAATTTGTTATATTTACAGTAATTTGACAGTGAGTACAATTATTGAACATTGGAGGAACACTCTTAGAACTATGAGAAACATTTTGGACAACATGCAGGGAGGAAGTGTCATTTTGTTGAATATTTTGTATTGTGAAAATTTTATTTGCCACCTCAATCTTATTGTTAAGCGTCAAGTTTAACAATTCAACCTCAATACGTTTCCATAGTAACCCAAGTAATTTTATTAGGAATTTCAAAGCACCATTTATTTGGGAATAAAATTATCGCGTTTTTTTTTTAAATCAATCAATATCTGTCGAATTTTAAACGATTTGCGGAAAAATAGTATGTTTACCTCGTAGGACAAGCCACAAAAATAATAATAATATTCTTATATTATTATCGAGGTGATCCTAGAGATATATCAGTTTATGCAATTAACTAATCAAAAATAGAAATAATGCTTAGAAACAGTATTTTGAAGTTTTGACTATGTAAGAAAAACAAAAAGACAAGTGGTATAACAAAATTGAATGGTACGATCAAAAATACGGGGAAATTCGATCAGTTAGCTAATAGACTTTAAGGTTATGAGCCAATAATGTAAGAAAATATTGAAAAAACACGATTTTTTCGCAATTTAAGAATTTTTAAGTTAAAAATGATTATTTTAACAATGATAGTTCATAGCCTGTAAAAAAATAGATGGACAAGCATACATCTAACTATCTGATTTTGAGGTAAGGTAAAAAAAAGTGCGAAAAGGATAAAAATGTAGTATTTTCAAATTTTATCTTTATGACAGAGTTAAATGTGGATTTTTACAATAGAATTTTATAATGTGGAAGAAAAAATGTTGAATTACCAACTGAGTTTTGAGGTTATGTGCAAATAAATGAGTAATAAAACGGTTTTTTTTTATTTTTCGATGCTTTCCGCGCAGAAATTGAAAATTTTGCCTTAGCCAATCAAAAGAACTAAAAAAAAATACATAAAAAATTACTACTTAAAAGTTAGCGAAAAATTATTAACATAACCTAAAAAATCATTGAAAATTTCAATGATTATTCATAGACTCAATTTTCAATATGAAAATTTGAAAAAAATCAGGCTATTTTGTATTCAAAAGATACATCTTCATGAATTTCTTTCATATTTTTTTAAGCAAAATTGCGTCCAGCAAAAAATAAAGTCGAAAAAAGCTTCTTTTTTAGATTTAAGAGGTTCTATGACCTCTTAGAAGCTAAAAATGTGTATAAAGTCATGTTTTACCGTTTTATTGAAATCACAAGTCGCAATGCTAATCTATAATATAGTCTTTCACTGAAATTTGAGGGGTTTTCTTTTGATATGTCAAACAAACGAGCAAATCATAATTAACTCTAAGGATGAATACAGACATGTAACAAAATACCATAGCGTAATTCAATAGTTACTTTACTGTGTTGTTGCATATCCGTATGCACCTTTAGCAAAATATATTTCAATTCGTAATATAAGAAATAACTGAATAAATTTCATTTCAAATTATTGAATGATGTTAAAATGTTACCAAGAACTCATATTTTTGGTTAAGGAGAAACCCCTTAAGCAAAACCATAAACCTTAAAGGGGAAAAAATATGACATAATTTACATATCTATAACAAAAAAGTCCCCAAAATTACTTTTTATAAATGTGCAGAATCTACACTCATATGCAAAAAACAATGTCACTGAGAAAAATTTGGTCAAATTCAAAGTATTTAAATTTTTTTATTTTCAGCCCAATTTTGATGATTTTTTTAGCACACTGTGTATAAATATATAATTTTAATTTGGTATAGTCAGTTTTTTGATAAAATTTTATATTTGACTTATTATACGGAGTTAATTAAGACCATATTCATAACTTCTTAGAAGCCCCACTTCAACTGGACTTACCGATTAAAAACGTCACGATTATCGAATTGAGATACACAACTATGAAAAATATAAACCCAAAAAAGAGCCCCGGAGTTCGATCTGATAAAGGCAAGATACTGCAAGAATGTAAAATAACAGGGTATAAATATCTGCAGCGGCTTTTCAATACCATCATCAGAAAAGGCAACTTTCCAAGTCCATGGAAAATTTCATAGATTATCTTGATACCAAAACCTCGAAAAAAACTAT